GAGCCCGCTCCCGCACCAGCTGCGGTCGGGCTCTGCCAGCCGGGCCTGCCTCTGGGCAAAGTGTGAGTTTGACCTGGAGAAAATTGCTCAGGTCAAGCTGCCTGAGAAGTGAGCCTTTAATGTGAGGTCTGAGGAGTGCCTGGAGTTATTTCAATACATGATTTTCCGTCCTTACCGTAATTGTAATGATGACTGCAAAATAGTCCCCGTAATTTCAGTGTGCATCGCTAATTGGGATGTTTTTATCAGGCTAATGATAACCACCTATTATTTTGTCACCTTCTTGCTGTAATGTGTCCTTGATGATATTATTTTGTGTGCCATTAGCACTTGCAAATGGTTATTAATGGCAGTATTTTAGAAGTGCGGAAGAGTTTGGTGGCTCCCATCTGTCTGCGATGTTTTCTGCCGTCCACAGAAACTCCCTTTACTTGCTCCCGCGCTGTGTAAATGTGACCTGCTCTCTAACGAGCTGCCTGAAGCCACCCCCGGGTCAGCCTCCCTGCGCCACTCCGGATGAAGGCTGCATGACCAAAATGCCAAATTAGTTCTTTTTCAAAGAAAACACATCCAGCGCATTGTAATCATGGGCATGTCTGATAATGAAAAGAAGACAGATGTAATTATACCAGATGTAGACATTTCATTAGTTCATTTAAAAATAGTTACCTTGATAACTAATTAGCTCTTTTAAGTATAGTTACCTTGGTAATTAAGGTGTCGTTATTACTCAGAAGAACCAAGGGAGGCACACCAAAGGCCGTATTGGTTGGAAACCCGTGTCAGCCCAGTGGGCTTCACGCCTGTCAGCAGAGCAGGTGCCGGGTCCAGGTGCCGGCTTATCCCGCTGGTGCCAGATGGCTGCTGGGCCGCCTGGCTCTGCATGCCAGGAGGGGGGCGGCTGCGAGCAGCTGGTGGGAAGCTGGCGTTTCGTGTGGGGGACCTGCTGTGGCCTCCTGCTTGCCCGGCCGTCCGGGCAAGGCTGTCCGAACCTGGAGAACAGACCGGGCAGTGGTGGGAGGAGGGAGGGACCCGGGCAGTGGAAGGCAGCTTGGTCCGCAGCATGGCCCGCGCCCCGGGAAGGACGCGTCCCCGTTCGTGATGGCTTGGCACTCCTGGAGGCTGGGAGCCTGGGCTGGGTGCGCAGGAGGGGCACTGGGGTCGTGAAACCCCGAGCAGGGAGGGTCTGTGTCTTGCAAGGACAGTACTGCTGTGTTCCTAGGGGCACGGTGTTTGTTGTTGTTTTTAACAAATTTACATTTTAATCGCTTTCTGCTAAAACAAATTGGATTATTTTGACCTTTCAGAGCACAGCTATGTACACAATAGATTAAAACCAATCTGCTGGAGGTTGGCAGGCAACGGATGTGAGCAGAATGGAGTCAAGGCTGGGAGAGAAGACCTGCGATTGCCCGAAGCCAGTCTCCATTCGGAGGCAGCGAGCACAAAGCTCTCTCCCAGAGCTCCCAGACACCATTCCCTGCTGGAAAGCTCTCCCCGGAGCTGGCTGTCACATCCTAGAAGAAGCTCTTGTGTGACTGCGCAATTAAAGACAGCCCGGGTGGGGTGGTGCAGCACCCAAAACGGGAGTGCATGGGCACTGCACTTGGAGCAGGGATGCTTATATTCCTAGGTCCCAAGTGACAGCCCGGGGATGAGGAATATTGATAGAAGTAGTGAGCGGTGTGGGTCTCAGCCAGGTAAAGCAGCAAATGAGGACATGGAACGTTTTACTAAATCTCTTTTTTCCCCTCCCCTTCTGCGGTACTTTAGGTGTGTATTGTGCAGAAGAGAGACACTGAGAAGATGTATGCCATGAAGTACATGAACAAACAGCAGTGCATCGAAAGAGATGAGGTTCGCAATGTGTTCAGAGAGCTGGAAATCCTGCAGGAGATCGAGCACGTGTTCCTGGTGAATCTCTGGTGAGCGTCTTCTCCCCTTTGCCTTCTGGGGCCACCTGCCCTCAGGTGCTCACAGAGCCACATTCTCCCTGTCCTCTCAGGGTCATGGACGTCCATGGGAGAAACCCAGTGAGCTCTTATGATGGAAGTCCGTGATAACGTGAAATGCGTTCAGGAAACATAGCTTGCTTTACACAGAAGATAGCCAAATGTTATGACATCAAACATTTTAAAACAGCTTAGCTTCTCTTTTTCCATCAAAAACCTTTGTGTGCTTGTTGGGTGTTTTTCACAGCCGTCTTGCAAATACCACTATCAGGTCCCTCCTAAGGGACCCCCTGCCAATTTAACCGTAAAATATTTTTGTACCATAGTGTATTGATGTGTGCAGTTTGACTAAGGTGTCTCGGGGCAGTACAATGCTCCTGCTGATTGCCATTAAAGAAATAGTCCATCTCATGTAGGTACATGAGATGTGTAGGTACTGAGAACTGTGACAGTCTGTGGTGAATTGGATACTGCGTGGGGCCAATTTTTGTAGCAAATAACAGCTCGAAAAGTCAAAGAAACTAGCATTTTTAGAGACGACAATTTATAACTTTTATTAGTGGAAAAATTATACAAAATATATAGTGTTTCACACAGTAAGTATTTGGTCCCTCTAAAGGACACAATCTCGCAGAGATTGTCTAATGGTTTAAATAAACAGAACTGCTCTCAGCCGTAGCCAGTGTGTTCAGTAGAGTGTTACTGAGATGATACGTCCTAACTCAAGAGGTTTTAGCGAGTGGTTTAAAGCTGTCCTCACCGTGTTTGGGTCTGCGCAGGTACTGCAAAGGCGGCTCCATAGATGTACCCTGAGGGATGCTGGTGGGGTGGGGGGGATTAATATGGTGGTAGGGAAGCCAAGGAGATACACTGCATATCATTTTTTACTGTATCTAGACAGGATGCTTTTCAAAAGCATTACAGACTGAAGCTATTTGTTAGATTTCAGCCTGATTTGAGGAGATTTTTTTTTTACTTAGACACTAAAACATTGCCCAGTAATGAGTCTAGTTTTTGCCAGTGCACACACAATCAAGTTAGCATTGAGCAAGTTGAAATGTAACTGGTTTTAGTGATCTGTTGCTGAGAAAAAGTTATGAGATCTCTTCAAATTATCAGGTGCGCGGCCTTTTGCTGGAGAATGACTAAGGGCAAAAAGTGCTTTGCAACACGTTCACTGGCCAGATAAAATCTATTCCTTTAGAGCTCAGATGTATCATTATCAAATTTTACACGACATTGATTTACAAGTTTTAGAAAATAGTGCATTATATCCTAAGATCGTTGGTTAGTTTGGGATGAGTCCCTAGCAGTCAGCCCTGTGACCCTCTCCTGGTTCCTGCTGCCGGGTGGTCCGTCCTCTCTCTCCCTTCCCTGCCCTGGGAAGGAGCGCCTGACGTGGGGCAGGGATCAGAAGAACCATCGTCTTTGCCCACAGTCGACCAGCACGCCACAAACTGATCCTGTGCCAACAAGCATCTCTGATCACTGCTAGGAGGGAGCTGGGGCAAGAGCAAATACAGGACGTGTTGCAGGGTGATAGAAATAAGGAGTTCATGGCTTATATTCCCAGACCGCAAGAAGAGTGACATTTATGAGAGGTATTTATGATATCCCATTGAGTGCAGGATGACAGACTGAGAAGGGGGAAGACGAGCGGTCCCTTCTCTTACTGTCTATGTGACCGGCGCT